TCTAGGAAAGACTCGATACTGCCTCGGTCTCGAGATAGAGCATTGTTCAGATGGAATCTTAGTACATCAATCGAACTACACCCAGAAGGTGTTTTTCCGTTTTAATAAGGATAAAGCAAAGCCTTCGAGTACTCCTATAGTCACTCGATCACTAGATGCAAAACGAGATCCTTTTCGTCCAAGGGAGGATGGTGAAGAGATTTTGGAGCCTGAAGTTTTATCTAAGTGAGATAGGCACTGTATTGTACTTAGCTTAATGCACTAGACCCAACATCTCCTTCACTATTAATCTTTTGGCAAGATACAATAATGCACCATCATGCAAACACTGGACTTGTGTTAAAAACATCTTCTATTACCTTAAGGGTACTACAGATTTGGGCTTGTTCTATCCCTACGGATCCTCAAGTAATGCCGCACCCCCTTATCTCGAGTCGATTCTTTCCTTGTTGGTTACACTGACACATGATACTTATCTGATCCGTACAAGGCGCGTTCTAAAACGGGTTATGTCTTTACCGTTGAAGGCACCGCAATCTCTTGGAGGTTAACTAAATAGGCCTTTGTTGCCACTTTGTTTAACCATGCTGAAATTTTGGCCTTACACAAAGCAACTCGGGAATGCTTCTGGTTAAGAGCAGTTGTGGGTTATATTCGAAGCTTCTGTGATCTTTACCTCGTTGTTGACGTCTCGACGACGATTTATGAAGACAATGCAGCATGCATCGAACAACTCAAGAAGGGTTATATCAAATGAGACAACACCAAGCATATTGCGTCGAAGTTCTTCTTCTCATATCAACAGCAAGAGCATCAAAAGATTGAAGTCACGCAAATCCATGCACAAGACAATCTAGTCGACCTCTTCACTAAATCACTACCGAATGCGACGTTTCAAAAGCGTGTTCAAGGAATTGGTATGCGTAAGCTTTCTGAGTTATAACATTGTTAGTTCTCTTTTGAATTATGTCAAACTCAGGGGGAATATCCTGAAGTATACTTGCTTGATCTTGATGTATTCATTTCCCCTATGATTAGGAGCATTTTTCCCTTTGGATTTTTGCTACCTAATGAGGTTTTGATGAGGCACCCACCTTGGGTTAATCATATCCCTGATGACGTCCCGTAGACATTTCATTTGAGTTTGCATTTCTTATGCATTTTTCCTTTTACTATGGGTTTTTGTCCTTACTTGGGTTTTACCATAGCCATTGGGTTTTTTTGTGAGACTTAGTTCCTTATGCAAGTTCCTACTTTACTTTGAGACTAACGTGTTCCCAGAATCAGTGCCAACTAGTCGACTTCCTCAACTATACATGATACAGAATCTACTTGAGTATTTACACACTTAAGGGGGAGTGTTATAAACTTCTTATTTAAGTGTGATTGTGTAAATCCTAGGTTAGATTTGATACTAGTTATTCTTCTCTATTAGGACTTGTATTCCTTGGAGAAGAAGGATTATTCCCTCCCTTATTACCATAAATAAAAGCATTGCGTAAGGGGAATAAAAAATCCTCTACACAACCCTACAAACACATCTCTCTGTGCCGCCGGACCCTCTATCTCCCTGTCAGATAAAACAATCTACAACAATAATAAGCGATGATATTTATCACAATTCAATAAATAAATAAAAAAGCTGAATTATGGGACCTAATCCGATAAATTAGACTAAACTGAATAATAATTCACAAAATTAAATTTATATCAAATTAAATTTCATCCACGTTGCTGTTGCATTATATGTGTAAGTCCACATGCGAAAGATTAAAAGGAAAACTAATGAAAAAGGCTTGAAAACTTTGAATTTTAACGATAAGGACAAAATAAAGGGCAAAATGAATAGTACCATGTTGGACTTTTTAGTGTAAAAATGTAATTTTTCGTTAAAATAAACAGTACCACGGCCTTTTTATTAAAACTCCTAAGAATAAAATTAAGGTGTTGTGAGAAGAAAATATTGGGCTAATTTTGTGAAGAGACTTGACAAACCCAGTGGTCAAAGTAAGCTCAATTAAGAGACCAAGTTGGGCCGTATTCCCAAATAACGAGACATGTGGAAAGTGCGGATAGGCTTTTTTGCAATGCAGAAATCGGTTCAACGTTTGCCACGTTATTAATTAAATATACAGAAAAATATAAATTAATACGATTTTAAAGTATTAAAATTTAATGTTTAGAAAATTAAATTCTAGTGATCTTTTTTAATAAGGCAAAAGGCAATCGATTATTAATTCTATAATTAATAGAATAATTTTGCAGATATGCGCTTTAACTATGTTTAGTAAAACAATGCACATTTCTGTTTGTAGTTTAGATGAATTTGATGTAAAATATTGCTTATATCATAAAAAGAATAATGAAATAATTATGTGTTATTTAGTGATTTTCCCCATTGATTTAAGACAATAAAACAACGAAACCTGTAAAAAGTAACTAAGTAATATTGTTTTAGAAACCAATCAGGCATGACATTTACTAACGAAGTCAAACGAATTAACAAGGCAAAATGAGGCATAGTAAACAGTGCTACAATGGTGAGCATATAATTGAGGGTATTTTACAATCAGAGATCAGTACTGTTGAGCCTTGTAATGTGAGTTTGTATTTAAGTATGATATTGAAGTGATAGGTTGTATATATGAGTAATCTAGTTTTATGTTTTATTTTTTTTAATGAATTGAAGATATTTCAAGATAAAACACATTCTATTTTTGTTATAGAAGTTTCAAATATAAGAAATATGAAAATGGATAAAAAAAATCTTCATGTAGCTGATGATCCCAGGAGTTGTTGCCTTAAGCATTTGAATAATGGAGAGCCTTAGTTATGTCAGGATGCATGGCATAATCTGCTGCCAGAATTCCTGTAACTTAAGCATGCAAAGAGAACAACAACTGCGTATATAGTGGCGAGGGGTGTTGGGAATATGAGTAAGGGTAGAGCCAGAAAATTTTTTATTGGTTGGCTAGCTAAAAAATACTCTAAAATTAAATTATATATATTTTTTTCTATATACGTACTGATGCAAAAATTTAAGTTTAACTTTTCTATTTGTATACTTTAAAATTTGTTTGGCATGAACTTAATAAGCTTAGCAACTGCAAACTGAAAAAATTACAATAAATCATGTAGTTTTATATGTTTTTAGATCCAAACACAAGAAGAAGAGAGAAAACTATCGTATATGGACTATCTCAATTACAACCACACAACTAGCACAAAACAAAACAATGAAAGTAGAAGTAAAGGCAATCAAAACAGAATAATCTTGAACAAAATGACATCAAAATTTCCATAGTAATTTTTATATTTTTAGTTGTGCTAAATACTCACTGGGCTTATTTTTATAAAAAAATCATTTTTCTTGCATTTATTTTGTCTATTATACTAGGCTATACACCAAAGTACATACATTGCCGCAAACCCTTTCACGGCTACAGCCTGCCGTAGCCTTGGTGTGGCTCCGCGCCAATATGAGTTAAGATTAGGTTATCAAGGGTTAAACAAGAGCAAAAAGCAATTGCATTTGCACATGTTATTTTTTGTTAAACAAGAACAAAAAGCAATTGCATTTGCACATGTTATTTTTTAATGATATTCTTGAGGCCACATATATTATATATTCATGCAATAACAGCTTGAAATCTGGTTGAAATTCATGTTTACCTAGCTACCTAGCAAACCTAGAAATCTTGCAAAACAGGCCTCCTTAAATAATGCAATGTTTCATCAGTTGCATGTATGTTCTTCGCTTAATTAGTCAGGCAAATAGCAGCAGTACCAGTAAGTCTAATTTACTTCAGCAAGTGATTGCAGACTTATTAATATGAAGGCAGTGAAAACCAGGCTCCACGATGTGGCAAATTAAAGCACAATTTTCATACTGTTTTCAACCTTCTTAATATGGTTAATTATCAGTCTTCTTCAATCGTATGGAGAGGGTGAGAAGCACATAGACAAAGAAACAACCATTATATAACCTACATATAAACATATATATGAATAATATAAGGTGATGATGATCCAATCGACAAAATGCTACTTATCTAAGTAAAGTTGGTTTATGTCTAACATTCAAAGGACATGCAGAATATAAGGAAAAGTTGGTTCCAGGAACAAATTTTCAGTTTCCGCGATAACATTAAGAAACAGAAAAATAATCAAGCTAGGGAGAGATAAGAAAAAGTACGTACGTAATAGTTTATTCAAGTTTTATGATTAAACATAAATTGCGATAACTACACAAGCTATACATGAAGGTTGAAAGCTTTAATCATCGACATGAGATTAACTCAATGTACGTGGAAACGAATAGTATTGTTTCCATGGCCATGAATTAATTAAACAAAAAAAAAACACATCATTGGAAGAATCAATATCAAATGAAATTACTGGAAATCGTAAGCATTAAAGTAATTGGAAAATAAATGAAGGAAAAAAAAAACATATGTGAGAATATAGCATGAGAATACAGAGCCACAACTGGAAGACGTAGAAAGACCAAACCATGAACTAAATTTCCACTAGTTGGTAAGAAAAAATCAATACAGAAGCTAAGGAAAAGAAAAAACGAGTACCAGTTCGATTTAGTGAGAACATAGTCGGCAATCTTCAAAGTTCAAACGAACCCCAAAACGGGGTCATTTTCGAGTTTCCAAATCTGGCAGTGTGTATGATAGACAAACAATTCTACATATAATTGGACCATACATAATTCAAATACCAAAAGAAAACTTAAAATCATATACTCATATATAGCAGTGTAATATTACAAACTTAGCAAACCCCAAATATATATATATATATATATATGCTAACCTAGCTAATAAATTCCATCATAAGGGGAGACATTAAAACGTACATTTTTTATAGTTATATACCCAGTCTTTGATCTTCATCTTCGTGTTCCCAGCCTCCAAATATAAAGCAAACAAATTGAAGTACGTACCCTTGCAAATCTCACACTTATGGGGACTGATAAATCCCTCTTATTATACACAAGTTTTTCTTAATTTCTCCCAAAATCACAATCAAAATATATATTAGCTAGGTAGAATTTGGGAGAAATTAAAGTACTCACTTAGCTCCAAACAAGTACCCAAGTGATGAATCTCCACCAGGAGCTGATTTAACTTTTGTTGTCGGACGATCCTGAATAAATATCATTTGGTAGAAAAATACATTATAAATTTATAATAATTAAGGTGTAGCTGCAGAGTTGAATTCTCAAAATTTAGTTCATATACAAAAAATAAAAAATAAAAAAAATACAAAACAAAAAATAAAAAACAAAAAAATAAGGAGCGCTTACAGTTAAGAAGTTCCCAGAATTTTGGCCCTCAGCTCTGTGATAGTTGTTGGAATTTTTTTGTTTTTCTGAAGAGTTAGTAGGAGTATCTGGAGGCTTAAATTCAGTGCTGGAATCAAATCTATCGATGCCATATGGGGGTATTACTGGCTTAGCTGTTGGAGGTGGACTTTGTTTCTGATCATCTGAGCCAAACAAGTACCCCAATGAGCTTTGTCCCCCACCATAGCTCCCACCTCTACTCATGGCTGCAACTTAATTTGACAATTTCAAGATCTATTTGTCCAAAGTTAGAGGTATAGGAGAAACAAAGAGAACCCTAATATATATAAACAAATTATGCGTGAAATCTATGTGCATATTTTTGGATGGGTTGATGACGATGTATCTTACCTAATTTGTCATTATTTTCTTTATTGATTAATAATATCAACTTTAATCGTATGGTGCATAATAATATAGGTTAGAAAGGGCATCTGATGGATTGAGTAATTGCCCTTGTTGCATGGTGGTGATGTATGTGTATGTGATTGTCTAATAGACTCTACATGTAATACGTTCCATGATCCATGATCCATCCATTGTTGGAATCCCATTCATCCCAGATCGGCTAGAGGGAAAGGAGAGAAGCACTTTGAATAGAATTACCCCACTCTAACTAATATCGAGACCTTTTGTGATAAAACCCCGCACCTGACGGATTGGACAGGTGGTAAAGTGGGGACAATATCAATGTTGTTGGAGTGGGCCCTCGGCCAGTCGACCTGAAAATTTCTACATAGTATCAGAGCCAAGGGACGGGCTCGTACTGCCACGTGATTGGTGGGTCCCCATTTGGCCCCGCGTGTTAGGTGAGCCCCGACTTGGCTCCACGTGGTTGCCGATGTGTGGACCTCCACGTGCGACCCACAAAATAGGGTTTCATGTGCGGTGGCATGTTGGAATCCCATTTATCCCACATCGGCCAGAGGGAAAGGAGAGAAGCACTTTGAATAGAATTACCCCACTCTAACTAACACCGAGGCCTTTTGTGATAAAACCCCACACCTGACGGATTGGGTAGGTGGTAAAGTGGGGACAGTATCAATGTTGTTGGAGTGGGCCCTTGGTTCGTCAACCTGAAAAATTCTACATCCATAGTTAAATCCCTCTTGTTCTTTTATTGAAATGCTCAATCATTAAAAGACAATTGTTCAAGCATTCATGCAATAGGGAATGACTTAACTCCATATAACTTCATGTAATATTTCTTAATTCTTTGATGTGGGACTTTAAACTTTATATTCTGACATGCTCTCTCAAGTGTGATGAATTTTTTAATCTAGCTAGCACGTGGATAGTTTTAATTGAGTGACATACAACATATGTGGATGTTGGTTGTCACATTTACGCAAACTCAACACCATGAATTGCCATGATGAATGAAGTTAATTCCACTCTAAAAACTAATTCATTGACAATAAGGAGAGTAACCATGCCAAATTTCTTCACTCTCCAGTGACGGACTTTGAACTTCATATCCTTACAATTATTAGTATTTGTTTTGTTAAGGGTTGTGGGAAAGAAAATATTTAATTTGAGGGACAATAGTGATGAAGTATGTAATTGTAACTATACTCAAATTGTTACTTTAATTATGAAGGCTTTGGAAAGTAATGTTATTTTATACATCAAATAATGGGGATGAAAGATTCAAATTCACGACAACAAATATAAGGATGAATGTTGTTTAACTAACTGAGTTACAAGCACCCTACAAGTTTTAAAAAACATTTTACTGGCCTAGAAAATGCAAATAAAAAGAAGAATACAAATCAATTATAATTATACAACTACTCACTGATGCAGGTCATTAATACTATTGGAAAACTAATACTGATCTTATATAAATTGATTGGAAATTAAAATCGGTGTCTTTTGATAGAAAGATTTGTCTGTCCACACTTGAATTTAAATCAATAGTTACAATTTTTTACTCTTCATGAATAATCACTACTTTTTAAAAATGTATCTTAACCTTTATAAATAGGCAAGTCCCCCCATAGTCATGAATCATTGTTTGATATTTGCATAGTCTATATATATGGTGCACTAAATGCTAGAATACGAGAGAGTGTTCAACAAATTGTAGTCCATTAAAGCCTTATCTTTGTAGTGTTAACATCGTAAGGATGTGGTCAGTGTATTTTGGGAGAAGGGTACCGATCAACCATGAACAACGTAGAGAGATGTAAATTGTCTTAAGGGTACATAATGTGGAACATTCGCCTTGAGTATTTTTGTTTTTGAGATGAAACGATAGAGGTTTTAGCCAAATTCGTTGCCACCGTACTGGCGATTTGAGAGTAACACATCCAAATCTTGAAATCATCTACACCCAAACTCAAAGGACTAAGATGACATTCCAAAACCAAAGTAACTTAATTCCTCATTTTGGCATTGGTTTTTCTCATGTGTATGCATTAAATTTAATATTTAATTGCATGATTATTTGTTCAAAATTTTATGTGATTAAATATAGCAATTGAACAAATTTTTTATTTGTTTAATTGCATGATTATTTGTTCAATTTTTTATGTGATTAAATTTAATATTTAATTACATGATTATTTGAGGGTAACCCCATTTTCCCACCAATAGAGACATATAATTTAGCATGAAATAAAATGAAATGTTGTGCTTCTAAACCACATTCAACGAAGTTGATATATATGTGCAAGCACGACATAAATTTTGTTGTTTATTTGTAATATTCCTTTAAATAGTAAACTAGTATAACATATTGAAAAGAAAGAAAAATTGCTCTAAAACAGTTGCTTCGCAAGGTAGACAGAATTATAAGTTGGTTGAATGTCAAAATCAAGTGGTCTTGATTAGCCTTTGAAAGCAACCTTAACCATGAACTAGTGGTATATGATTACGTAGAAAGTTGATGACTTACATGTCTAGCAACCATTGTTTAGTTATTAATCAGATTCTTAGCCCGTAGAGATTATCTTAATTTCCCTCTCATTTGATTGAAATTGAGAGATAAGCGTTTACTTAACAGGTTAAAAATGACAATTAGTATTACGATTTAATGATATTACTTTTCACTTATAAGTGAGAGATCTTAAGTTTGAACCTTGTGGATGTTAACATTGTCAAGTTCGAATCCAATTCATTCATCTACCTCTTAGTATAAATATATCGTTGTATACAAAAATACAACAAAAAAAAAAAAAATCAATTTTAATAAAACCAATAAACCATGTATATATGAATCGTACAAGAAGAGCTACATCACTACTACAATAAAGCGACCGATGTGGATCAATGTCCATAGAGCGATATATTAATTAAGAATCTAGTCATGGACTTAGAGATCATATGCAACTCTCAATTAATCTAATAAAACCATGTCTGGAATCGTACAAAAGTGTTATAAGTTACCTCATTACTGTCAAAGCAGGTAAAAATTATATCATAATGGGTTTCAATTTACTGTAGTCCATGATATAATTAACTGTCACCCACTCGACAGGTTCATGTGATTCTTGGGCCTAATTGCAAAAACCCACCTTATTGTACGTACTAAAGAACTGCTTAACTGGGGTAAAATCAGTACGATAGTGCATGGATTAGTCTATCAGCATCTATAAAGCGGGGGGTGTGTGTTACATATCAGTACATTAGAGCTGGAAAAAGGAAAAGCCGGAATAGACATAGAGTAATAGTTGTATTTTCTAGCTCACAGTAGTAATTCAAAGGAAAAGAAGAAAAAATCAGTTAAATTCAGATAAATTATTAAAAGAAAACAAAAAGATAGTGATGGTAGGGTTTTCTTTGAAATGAGCACTTAAGCAGCTAGTGTTAGCACTCTTAGAAGTTACAACAACAGAAAATATTAATTAGGATTATACTTTGATGTTTAATTTATTTAAACTTCAAACAAATTCATCAATAACAAAACTAACTTCTTGTTCTTAAGTATAAGTATATAGTTTGCAAATAAGTTCATTCATGAAAGTTGGCAGATATTTATAGTGGTGATGAATCAATGTGTTGAGGTCTTGTCAACCATCGAGTAGTGTTTGTTTGAACCTTTGACAGGGAGAGTTGATGGAGAAAGATATGACACCCTATGGCCCTCAAAGTGAGCAGTATCTGTCATCTGTTTTAGTCTTGGACATCAATTATTTTGAGTGAAATGTCATCAAGATCATTTCTTCATCAGCTATACTCTCTCTCTCTCTCTCTCTCTCTCCACGCACACACACACACACACATGCTATACATATATATATTCTCCCTCCCTGATAGAACAAATGAGATCAGTTCAGAATTAGGGCAGACAGTTTCCATATTTGATGATAGTTACTGACCTAGCTAGCAAGTGCTTTCAGTACTATAATAAGTATGGACTATTGAGGCATAAATATGCATGAAAACTACAAGTACTTGAGTCAAGGACGGAAGGAGAAATGGAATCAGGTGGTTTACCAGGAATTAATGAACTGAAACTTTTTGTATGTAAGGAGGCGCTGAGTGCATGAATTGAAATGCATGAGTGAAGGACTCGAGATGATTTTGTGCTGTGCTATGCTTCGAAATCAACCAGTGTGAAAATTGCAGATAATAAAAGAAACCTAGTTGATAACTGTTTTATTTTTAATTTTTGGTTTTCACTTCGTACCTGTGATCGAGGGAAATTCAAAAGTGAATGAGAGATGAAAGAAGGATTGTGGTAGAGATCGATGTCGAGGAAATGTACAAGGAAAGACACAAAATCAAAAATTGTCCATTTGATAACCATTTTACTTTTCTGAAAACTGAAACACTTTTTTCTTTGTCGAAACCTAAGATTACACCCCGAAGAGTAAGACTAATCCCTAATAGAGTAGGGATGGAAATTCTAACTTTTAAACCCGATAACCGTGGATAACTATCTGAATGGAATAGATTTAGGTATGAACTTTCGGGTATATTTTGGATATGGGGAAAAACCGTGCATATTATTCGGTTATGGTTTTGGATATGGTTATAGGGGTCCCCGATCTGTGTTCGTACCCGAATCATATATATATATATATATATTTATGTATGTATGTATATTCGTTATTTGCTGAACCCATTACCTTGATAATACAAAAGTTGCATTGTTTTAGTATCAATGAGAATTCAATGGTGCTTAGGGAGATATCAAAGATCAGCCAACATCAATTTTCATTCGCACTCCAAACTTTCTACATTTAGAAAGAAAAATACACTTGTAAGGAGTGCAAAATGAGATTTCTAGCGTACCAATAACAGTTCCCATTTTAAATTCAATGCTTTAATTTTAATACTCCACAAGACTCATTCATTGAATCATTTTATACATCAAATGTTTAATGACTAAATTAATATCTACTACATTATAATGCATCAACTGAACGAGTATATTTTTTGTATTGACGAAGATGGATATAACTGTTAACCTATGGGGAATCCATTTTGGTTATAGATAATTCCCAATGGTAATTTGCGATTATGGATATGGTTAATTTTCATGGTTATAGGATGGATACAATATTTCCATCCCCAAACCGAACCATTTGACAAAGGCTAAATGCTTTAATTCTAGCCCACCACTAGTCATAGTCAAACAACACATGTCTCCTCAAAACTTTTAACCAGAGAAGTGTTTTTGCCAATTTTGTGCCTCAAACCCAGACCAGGGAGCAAACTTGACTTGGAATTCTACCACATTTCCACTGGATCACTACTATGGTTGAAAACTGAAATACTTGTTTGGTAATTTTTTTCCCTACTTTAACTAGGAAAAAAAAATGAAAAAATGTAATCATTTTATGATGGGTCAAGATTGTCAACATTTTCAAAAGCAAAAATGTAGGCTGATGGGTCGAGCTATATGACTTAAAATGTGAATTGACTGAAAATTTAAAGAAAGCAGTAAAAATCTAGCAAGATTCAGGCCATGAAGGACAATTAATGCTAAAGGAGCCCACCGAGACCACTGACATTAGATTGGGCTTAGTACCAAACATATGCTTCTAAGAGGAAATCGTGGTGGTTGGAATGACATATCAACGAAATCATACCATGCACAGGGTGGTAAAGCTGTAAGAGTTTTAGATCTCAGGGATTGTGGGCACTGTTCACTTCAAAGGAAAGCTTTGATTGATTTCACGAAGGTCCTAAGCTTGAAGGCTTCTGACTCTTTTTATAGGTAGTTGAGATGAAGCGCCTCAATCATATAGTTGAGCTGGAGTAAGGGTAGATCAATCATTTTGAATTGTTTTCACTTTCACTCATTCTTCTTTATTCCTTCCCCACACCCCTCCCCCCAACAAAAAACAAAAAAAAATACAAAAGAACACGCTTGTTCATCGTCATTTCTCGTATATACTTTCCTTATATTTCAAACACCAAATGTGAAAACAAAAAACAAGAAACAAAATGCTTATGAAACATATGCCTAAATAACTTGAAAATTTATAGAAGCTTAGAGAGGAAGTTTAGAGAGAAAGCAACCTTACTAAATATACCTCATACTTTCATTAACAATAATCAGAAGTTACATTTGGTATTTATAGCATTGAGCTAAGATAGCAATTCACAGTTTTACCCTTACCTATCCTAGCTTATTACATATACAATTATAACAAACTACACAATTAGAAACTAACTGTGATGACTATACTTGATGCTCTTTACACCCCCTCCAAGGTTAACTTGGTATCAGAGGAACCAAGAGTAGCATCGATCAAATCACGATCAGTAACCAGTGCTTCATCTGCAGTTAAAGAATCATAGATCTCTTTGATTTGCTACAGATACTTAGAAATTGACAGAGAGCCTTTCTGAAGAGATTGAAGGTGAGATCATAGTGGATGAATATGTACATCAGATACACCACCAAATTGTTGTTCAAATTTGAGCCACAGATCTCGAGAGGATGAAACACCAACATTGAATGGAATTACTTCTTCAGATAAGGTAAAGCTTAATCAGATGAGGAGATTATGATATTTTCATATCAAAGCTCAAAAGCTGGATTGAGCGAATGATCTGGAAGCACCGGGAAATACACATTTCAGTTCCATCAATGATACCAATCAACTTGTAGCATCTGAGAATCATAGCAAACAAAGCACGCCATGGAAGATAATTAATTGTATCGCTTGAGCTTTATCGGAACCATGCCGCCAAAATTCTAAATCGTAAGAGAAGTATATGAATTTGAGAAGTTAGGGTTTCACGAAGATGAATTTTGGTGCGGAAGTGACACCGACTCAATTGGAGATGAAGATTTCGATAGAGACACCATGACATTCAAGAATTGAGAGATGAAATTCAAGAACTTAGCAGGACAATTAAAGAGTTGAAGAACAACAATCTTCGAAGATTAGAAAAAGTGAGCGAAAGCTTGAGAGGTCCAAGATGCCTGTAGGCAAAAGGCGAGAGAGAGATACCATATAGAAGCTTAGAGAGGAAGCTTAGAGAGAAAGCATAGAGAGAGAGCAACTTTATTGAATATACCTCATACTTTCATTAACAATAATTAGAAGTTACATTTGGTATTTATAGCATTGAGCTATGATGACAATTGAAAGTTGTACCCTTAGCTATATAAGCTTATTACATACACAGTTATAACAAACTATACAATTAGAAACTAACTTTGATGAATATACTTGATGCTATATAATATTTACTGCCGCTAGTAATGACTTTGGTTATTTCCTTGCAGCATTTATCATGTTATTTTCCATTGTAATATTTTCAAACTAATGCAAGCAAATTGTAGAGATGTCCATTCACAGAAACATTATCTGCATGTTGGCCTCACCACATAACAGGCATTAAGTTGGTTCGTTTCCAAGATCCCATTAGGCGTTAATTAGAATTTAGGAACTGTTTTTTGTTTTCTTTTACGCCTTAAGCATTAAGGAATTGATGCGGTTGGATATGGATACTGTGGAACCTCATGAGTGAGTGATGAAAAGAGATTAAGGTAATGAAATAATGATGAAAATTTGAGTCGACCTAGGAAGTTTATTGGAAGTTTAGAACTGGAAAAAGGAAGTGAAGGTATGACAGAGACCTACTGACCTAGCTGACTGAGAAACAAGGGAGCTCCACCTGTATGCTCTTTACTGAACATTACACGTAAAAGTATGAAGTATTGGGTCCCAAATTGTAAAAAGGCGGAATATCCCTTATTGATAATCACATGATGGGGATACATGAAGATCGCCCAGATATCTATATGCAAAAATATATGTTGGATTCATGTAAAAATGAACAAACCGGTGACATCCTGTTGAGAAAGATATGAAAATGGGGGTGACGTCGGAGAAACTTTTAAGTTCAAGCTAAGATTAACAGATATTGTCGATATTTCTATCACATCTGTTAAATATCTAAAACTCTTATATTCTATCCAAACTAGTGTTTGACAATCTCTAAAGTTTCAATTTAAATTTTCATCATTACCACCTAAAGCAACCGATATCGATATCAATATATCCGTCGATATTTTCACAAATTTGTATATCGGTATTTCCACCGATACTGATATTTTAAACACTGGTCTTAGACTAAATATAATATATGTCCTAAAAATTACATACTCAAACAAACATCTACGGACATAATTGGCACAAGAACCTTTTCAAACAAACAAACATGATATGTATGTATGTATGTATGTATGTATGTATGTATACGTATACATTGAACTACTTACCTGTCATCTGTCAATTACCATTTGATATTTGGAGGATGTTAACTTAAACATCTTATAATATAAGGTTTAGAGTTTTTGATTTAGAGTTTGTGGTGGTAAACCCTAAATCTATATCTCCTTCTTTGATGATAAACACACAACATAGCCAATGTACAACAAAAGTATGGAAATTATCTGATGGGTATAGCCCAACATTTTATTAGACTTTTGCCCATGAGAAACGAAGGCCCATAAAACAGAGATAGTAAAGCCCTAATTCTAACACAAGCCCTGCGGCTGCAACAGTTGTGTGTGTTGCCGATTGATTCACTAAGGTATAAAACAGATATAATTCATGCCACGATATGTATTTAATACAATCTTTATTTGACTGTTTAATATAATTATGTGAATATATGTAATTAATATAATCATTATTTGACCATAGAGATAATAATTGTATTAAATACATGTACGTATTGTAACCAAATCTCAAAAATTAAACCATTTTCTAGATATAAAGAGGGTTTCCTTGACATGATCACTGTGTTTTGCTTACAAACCTCACCTTACTCTCAAATTTACCAAAGGAAAGTTACTTTCACACACCATTTTTAGCTTCTCACACACTCGTCTTTATGTACATTAATTATATTAAATAAATCAAACAAAATCAATGAGCAGGATTAAACAGGGGTGTGTAAGAGAAAAAAAGGATACGTGAAAATCACTTCCCCTTACCAAACTGACAAGGTGGAATGATTTGGGCAGTGACTCAAATTCAGCAAGTCATATTTTTTTGTAGTACCCAAAAATTGGATAGGGATCATGATACAGTTGATCATCAGTGGTTGACTCAAGTGCCTCTTTAATTGTACAAAATAGTTGCCTCCAAAAGACAAAACTAAACAGGAGTGAACAAGTAAACATCACTTCCATTATTAAAGTTGTTATCGGTAACAACTAAGATAAACTTATACCACCAGTACTTCCTTTCATTACCATTCATCATTTCAATAATCCTCAATCAAAAATACTTAGAGTTGTAACATACATGTTTGCTCACTAGATAAATTTTAAAGTTTCCAAAAAGTATGAAAACAAAAAACAGAACGAAACAAAAATGTGTTCGTAACTTCTTGATGTGAATATGTGCTCAATTTGAGAGAGAAACAAAAAAAACCATATTACAAGTGTTTGGGCTCTATGCATACTAGACTAAAAGGGATGTGTAAGGGTACTGGCTGGTGAAAATTCAAGTAGTACCAAATATGTAATCGCAAAAAATTGAATTTAAATAAGAAAAGAAAGTTTTGTACCCAAAGCAACTAGTAACATGCCACCCTAACCCCCATGGTTGCCCAGAAACAGAAAGTCCTCTTATAAGTAAACACTCAACTAATTATAATGGCTGAAGCTGAAAGCCTTAATTATACGCCCCCTCTGCACCTAAAACTACACTCTGTCCCATCCCATCTTTTCCTCAAAAGCACTTTTAATTTCCAGCTTCTACTTCTCTCTCAGTTTCAAGCTGTTTTCTAAAGTCAAAGCTCGAAGCTTTAAGGGCATGGCGGGCGGAGTTTCGGTGTCTTCAGTCACCTTAACTAACAGTTTCGAACGAAAAACTCCGTTTTCTGGAAAACCCATCTCAGAAACGAGCCCCTCTTTGCTTTTAGCTTCTTCATCAATTCACTTCAACAGGAAGAGATGGAAGAGCATGCGCTCAGTCATGGAGAAGAAAGCGGAGAATGATCATGCAAAAGTTAAGGACGACATGACTGTGACTAAAGCCTTGGAAGACACGGAGAAGTTGAATATTATAACACTGCGTGCGTCGGAGAGATTGGAGACGAAGAGATCAGAGAGGTATACTTACCTTGTTGCTGCAATCATGTCAAGCCTTGGAGTCACTTCAGCTGCTGCCATGGCTGTTTACTATAGATTTTATTGGCAAACAGAGGTAAAACTAATTTCATTTTTATAATTAAAATTGGATTAACTTTCATTTTCTTGACATGGGTTTTAAATTTTGATTAATTTTTATGAAACAGGTTGGTGAATATCTTCTTCCTGAAATGTTTGGAACATTTTCTCTCTCTGTGGGATCTGCTGTACGTAATGCAATTAAAAATCATGAAAATTTCATTGATCAAATTCTTTATTTTTGCAATGAAATTAATTTAAACACGTTTTGTGTAATTCCAAAGGTGGGGATGGAGTTTTGGGCAAGGTGGGCTCATAGAGCTCTGTGGCATGCTTCACTGTGGCAGATGCATGAGGTAAGCCCTACACAACTCCCAACTCTAATAATCTAAATTTTTCCCATGCAAGATTTGTTACTGTAGTGACCCCGATTTTAATTTTTAATTTTTAATTTTTTAATTTTTTTTACTACGGCAGTCTCACCACCGGCCCCGGGATGGTCCTTTTGAGTTGAACGATGTATTTGCAATAACCAATGCTGTTCCTGCTATTGCCCTTCTTTCTTATGGTTTGTTTAACAAGGGTCTATTTCCAGGACTCTGTTTTGGTGCTGTAAGTACTTTTTTTTTCTAGTCAAACCCTAATATTAATATTGAAGGGGTTTAAAGGTTATTCAATTTCGGATCTCTACCGGTACTTTGTCCGTATTTGGTCGATAACTTGTAGGTGCTATATATTGATTATCCGATGTTAGATTGGTCAATTAAAGGGGTGACTAATTTTTATTTTTTATATAGGGTTTAGGAATCACAACATTTGGGATGGCCTACATGTTTGTGCACGATGGACTTGTCCACCGTCGATTTCCGGTAGGGCCAATCGCAGATGTTCCTTATTTACGAAAAGTTGCTGCAGCCCACCAGGTAAATTACATTGATTTTGTGGTTCAAATTGTCATTGTGTTTTTTTTTTCCTTAATGTATTTTCCTGTAAATTTTAATAGCTTCATCACTCATGCATCTTCAATGGAGTCCCATATGGGTTGTTCTTGGGACCTAAGGTAATACTCAGCCCTAATGCTTTTAAACAAACTAATTAAGGTTCTTAATTTCTGTTAAATTTCAATTAAATATGCGAATTGTGTTGCAGGAAATAAAGGAAGTTGGGGGCATGGAAGAATTGGAAAAGGAAGTCCAGCGCATGGCTAGGAAATCCAACAGTTGATAATATTGTTTCTTTCTGCTTGCTTATTGCTTCGATTTGTCAAAGTCCTTGAGAAAAATTAAGAGAGGGAAGAGTGAGGGACTTCTTCAAAAATCACAAAGAGCAGACGTGCAAGCAAGTGCTTATGGCTTAAGGACAATGTTGAGGTATTATAGTGAGACAAGCAAAATAGGAATTTAGGAAACTTCACCCCTGCCATCAAATTGTCTACAACTCCTTAAACTGTAATCACTATCCATTTATATGGAACTAGCTTGGTTGGGACTCAAGTGCCTCTTAAACTTCATCTATGCCATCAAATTGGTTACATGCATTGTTTTGACCTTTCTAATGCTCTGCTAGACCTAGCAACAACTTGTTAGCACGAAACGAAAAATTCAACAATGTCTGAATTGCCTTAACGTATTTGGATTGAAACAAAATTAAACCTAGATCTTGCTTAAATATCTATATTTACTGATCACTATATTCCATAGATATCGAGCATCTCCATGGTATTCGTATTGCAACTTGTTCTATCCTGATTTTTTTTTTTTTTTTTTTAAACTCTATACAGACAACAATCTGGTGCTACTCTTTTTAGTTCAATGAAATATATTTTTACTTCAATTTTGGGTAAATATTTTACTTCAATTTGGGTAAATATCTCAAAATCATTCGGACAAACCACAGCATTGACTTTTAAATATCGAAAAAACGAGTTCTAAAGTGCATGGTTAAAAGATTATGACTGGATATTTTGCTCTCGTTTATTGTTGTTCGGCATTGCTCCTTTAAAATGAAGTTTCAGGTAATATTTGCCAAACAAGTGAAACGGATCAGACGGTGCTGCTGCTCAATATTTTAGCAAATCGGATTTGGTTTGGATTTTCCCAGTCAATAATTCAACCGATGTAATTCTCATTCTAATTCATTCTTCTCTTTTTTTAATCCATAACTTTTTCTCATTTATGTAAGCAAGCATGTCAATAATCCAATGAAATTCGAGAAAAATAAAGGAGGCACAAGTACTACTCGTTCTTTAAAATGTGTAAATAAACATGTTGATAGTAAAAAGTAATACTCTATGTAGCTCTCCTTGCAAACCTAAGCACCTGCGCCTATTGTCGGCATCTCCTAGTATCCAAAGTTGTTGGGATCTTTAGGTCTCGTGATCTTTTATTGTAATTTCTCTTTGTTAAGCATTTAGCCTCATTGTTAACTTATAAAATTACCCTTTATTCTATTTTAAATCTCAAAATTTAATGTTTCTAGGTAGTAAGGTCTCACTTTCTAATTGGTTCTGACCTTACTAATATTTTTCTTTTTCAATCAATCCGCTTATTTCACATGTTTTATTTCTTTCGTCTACAGTTTAATTCTCAGTGTACATGTCATTTTTCTAGTTAATTATACAATTTGGTGCCATAGTCACACCATAAACATATGTTATAATATGTGTGTAGATGTGGAGCATATATAGATTTGATATTTCATGGAGTATATTATAGATTTGATATTTCATGAAGTATATTATAGATTTGATAGTTCATGCATGGAGTTTGGAATTATATTAATATTTGCTTTCATGGAAACATATTTGTGGTTGTATCCTATATATGTGCTGGGAAGTTTGCTGCTTTTAATTGGCATTGCCGTTATTTGACCAGCTTAGCTATGCCCTTAACTCTTTCGTCACAATTCATGTTTCCTATTCTCTCTTTGAAATTGGCCACAATACCAGTAAGTGCGCCAGCTCTAGTGACTGATGCATGACTCAACTCTAAATTTAATACATCAATATTTGTATATCGTAGTTAGAAAACAGCGAGCTTGTTCGTGTGCATAGTCACATATGCGAACCTTCTCTAGGGAATTGGTGACCAAGAGCCACAGCTGGTTCATGTACATGGTCACATAAATTAAGCTTCTGTATCTAGGAGATGACCTCAAAAATGATTTTCATCTTGTCATCATTTAATTATTTGTTTGCACTGAGCAAGTGTGACTTAAGTACGTAGTCAAGATCATCAAGAGAAATTCTTACTTACAATCACCCTATATAGTCATTGTGTACAGTTTGATGCAATCCTATACAAAGACTTTGTACATATTGATTAATTAATGGAGTAATATTTTCATAGCTACTCAAGAACATGACGTATAACTCAAAATCAATTTTTCAGTCATCGTCATCTATTTATTTTCTTGTGTAAGCAAGTGAAGACTTAGATATAAAACAAGATTGTCGTGAAAAATTCTTACGTACAATTGCCGTATACAATTTTTTTCATCGTCAACTAGTCACACGAGTCACTCATGAGCATGAGGCATACGGCATACCTCAAAAGTCAAAACCAATTTTCCTGCCATCATCATCTATTTGTAATTTATTTGTGCCGAGCAAGTGACGACTGAAATGCGAAGTCAAAATTTTCAAGAGAACTATTGTATACAGTTTTCTCATCAGCAACTGGTGACATGATGAGGAATTAATACAACGCGGGGTTGAAGGGTAGGTGATGGCCGAGAGCTAATTTTTAAGGGAATTTTCATGAAAATGGCTTGAATTAAGTTTATTTTAATAAAAAAAAATCATGCTATAACTTTATTTAATTTAAAAGACTTAAATTTTAATGAAAAACCCTTAAATTTTAATAAAAATGACAAAAGAACTTAAATTTTAATGAAAAAGACATAATTTTAAAAAAAAAAAATTCCGACGTGCAGACCCACGGGTCCTCACACAAATTGTTTATGAAACTTTCTACACTATATATGGAACTTAACGGTACACTGTTTATGAAACTTACTACACTATTTATAAAACTTACTATATTGTATATGAAAACTTATGACATTGTTTATGAAACTTACTATACTGTTTATGAAACTTATTATTTATTGTACATGCTGACTGTGGCGAATTCACTCCCAATGGAGAAGAGGGCACCATCGAAGCCTTCAAGGGCCTCACCTTTTCGATGGTGGATGTTATATTGTGTTGCACATCCTTTCAACCACTACGGTTATGCACACGTGTTCCTTTCTCTCTTACATTTTAAATGCAAAATCAATTTGAACTCTAAAGAAATCTCTATTTCTTCCCTTTATCAATGTTGGCATTAGGTTTTGTGAAAGCTTTTCAAAAGTATTCCACATATATTGGCACAGATGATGACTCGGTTAATTCAAGTTTTTCCATTACTATAACTTTAGTCACATTTTGCAACCTGGATATCTTCGTGATCTTTTGGGCATTACATCGAACACTTGGTAGGCACGCTAAATGGAGCAGATTTTCTTCAACTTATGGGCCACATAATTGTCCACTGAGTAATGCAATCGCAAGAAACCCAAATTGGGTTCACCAGAAAATCATAGGAAAGCGTCGAAAACAAACACAAAAAAATGACAAATTTGTTTACCTTGTTGAGGACCTAGAGGGAGTGATTGTCGGCCCTGAGGAAGAGCTCATGGAGGGCTTGGTCGTCGTTGGCCTTGACCTCTCTGTAATTGATGAAGTTCTCGCGGGCGTACTTGGCGTAGTAAGGTTGAGAGTCCTTTGGCAACCTCCTCACCAATCTCAGAACTTCCGCGTAGATTTTCAATGCTCTCCATTTCTCAACTTCCGACCCGCCAATCAATGATCACCGCCTCAAAACCCTCCACGAAAACAAAAAAACTCTTGCTTGTCTGAAAAAAGGGGCCCTTGTTCATTGCTTAACAAGATACAATGGGCTAAGTAAGGGCCACACCGAACTTTTGTTAGGTTTTTTTTTTTTCCCCTTTCTCTTGTCCTTATCATTAAATAAAGTTAGTAGGTGGTTTTTGGTTAAAACTCAAAGTTTTGAAGCCTTTTTCATTAGTTTTCCTAAATATTAACTGGGGCATTCGATATCCACATAGATCAACCACCCATTTGCCTTGGAGTTCAGTGTTTGATTAAACTTTACTTACCTTATGCCTACCAGGTGTTTTGCAATAAATTGGCATACAAGGAGGGTTTTTGGGACTACAAAGAGTGGTGAGGAAAGGTGTAAATTTGGAATAGAACTAGGATATCTATGTCGATAATTCACTGTACGTTATAAAAATTTGAAAGTTTTAACGAAACACTCCAGGTACTATTCACTTTTAACGAAAAATCATATTTTACCTTTCATGGTACTATTCATTTACACCTTTATTTGTCCTTTTTCATTAAAACTAAAGTTTTTTAGGACTTTTCGTTAGTTTTCCTTTTATATTTTTACCAATAAAGTTGATTTGGCAGCTATGGAGAAATAGCATAGATCTTTCTTTGCACATTCCCTATCTCCATCGATAATAGGTTGTTTATATAGAACTACCAAATGTAGCTCTTCGTATACACAACAAGAAAAAACCCTCTACCACCGGACTTGTGATTGGGCTTTTAAAGGTAGATTTTCCATCAATTTGTACTTTCATTGATAGTTTCCATCAATCTGTATTTTCATTGATACATTTATCTTCTCTTTTTCTCTCTCTCTCACACACAAACCTAGAATTCCTTCTCACCACTGCCTGCTCCTCCCTTTGATTGGGGTCAGTAGCAACCCCCTTGTTATGGATTTTTGCTCTTTGTTTTTGTCTTCCTTTTCTAGTAGTTATGCCCATGGCCTGCTCTTCAATTGCCTATGGCTATTGGTTTGAGAGGTCACGGCTGGTTTTTCAAGCATTTTTTTGCCGTTCCCTGCATTCATCGCTATTTCCCATCGTTCTTCACCATTTTGGCTTCTTCAACCATTTTCCATGCACTATTGTCTTCCTTTTTCAACCCCAGACACTCTTTCTCTTCCATCTTCTTCATTTACTCCTCTTTTTCATGTATATACCATCCTTTCCACAACCTTTGCCTAAAGCTAGGAGTAGCTCCCCTATTTTGGTCGTCAGATCTAAACATTCTTTTCATGGCTTCACTCCCAACCAAAATGCCAGAAAATCGGGGCCACGCATGATGCGTTTTAGCCCAAAATGAGAGTGTTTTAGATGCCCCTTTAACCCTATCCCCTTCCCTTTTGTTTTGGTTTTGGTTCTACTTGTTTGGGGCTTTTGTTAATGGTTACAATATGATGACTCTTCTTCGGTGTAGTGGTTTTTTGGTGGTAAAGTTTGGTTAGGAAGATCTCTCTGTTGTGGGTTGGAAAATTTTGTGATGCAATGCCTTCATCGAATTTAACTCGGAGTTGGTTTTCTTTGAGCGGCTATGCTTCTAGCCATTGGCGAGGTGGTTGTGTCGAAGGCAGCAACATATTTTTGCCAATGCGGGATACAATTTAAGGTTTTTTTTTTTTTTTTTTTTTTTTAAAC